ACAGCACTAGTAATTTATAATTTGAATACATTATGCCCTGGTTTAGGCCTATAGAGCAGAGAAGGGCAATCATACCACTGACACCTCCAGTGGTGACTTATCATGGTAAAAATATTGGCATCAGGGAAGGTTTTCTAACCTCTGCAATCACTGGTTTAATGAGTGGCAGTGTCTTTGATACCCAGTATAAATGGAGCAAATATAAAGGGATCACAGCACACAATCTTTAATCAACGTTATCTTTATTGCAGCATTGGAGGGTGTATATATATGAAGAACATTTATAATGTGTATCACAGGAAACGCAGCACAGTCATCACAGGGGTTTCAGTTATATATACGAGAAGGTTTATCGGAGACTGCTGCTTACAATATATGTTGCTACAATAAATATAAGTTTGATTTAAATATTGTGTGTGTGTGTCTCTTGTCCCTGAACTGTACACTTGTTAAAGGAGAACTATAGGGTCAGTGCTTTACCCCATAGTTCTCCTAAGGGTAACGGGAGGAGACAAACTAGCGTCCTCCCGTCACCCAAAGCTCAGTATACCGCGAGCTGCAGCTCGCGGTATACTGAGACGCCGCAAGCGGGACGGATCCCGACAATACTGTCTGGATCCACCCAGCTGTACCCGCAGAGCCAGCTGTACCCGCCCCCTCCCCTGTCCGTTCCGCCAGTAAGCGCTGGAGGATCGGAGAGGGGAATCCCTGCAGGGAGCCGTGAGTGACAGTCACAGCTCTCTGCAGGCACAGGATCGAGAAATGACAATGTTTCATTGTCACACGTCGGCTCAAACTATGAGGCTGAGTGATTTTCACTTGCCTCATAGTTCTCCTTTATTGTTCTGAAATATGCATGTGATCATCATTTATTACTGTAATGCAGTTGGGTTGCATATGCAGAAATAACTGTGGGGCTTATTTACCTTTTTTGTTTATTCTGCTGTAGATACTGACGGCACAAAGGAAAGTCGGACCTTGGCTCAACTAAAGCAACGGCCTGGCTCTCCAATGGTCGGACATGCAACACCCCTCCAAACATTGCTCCAATCAGCATCGCTGCTCATAGAACGAGTGCTGTTTATTAGAGCAGTGTTTGGGCAGACATTCGGATTGCTGGAGAGCCAGTTGTGTAAGCGAGTCATGATCTTAGTCTCTTGCGCTAAAAGCACAGTGTATTGTAATCCTTACTGCAGTATAAAGAGTAAAAGAGCTCCATATTTATTAATGTACATACAGCCTGACTACATTAAAATAAAGACTCATGCCCACTTGAGCAGATTTACCATTAGGCAGAGTAGGCACGTGCCTACATGCGCCCTATATAGAGGGGCGCAGTGCACGTACCTACTCTGCCTAATTCCCAGTGTTGTGTCAAAATACAACACCGGCAATGGCACAAAATGCACCCTCCTGCTCCAAGACCAGCGACGCCTACGAGCAAAATGCAGAAAGTACAATTTTTTGGCCAAAAATGCACTGCATCCCTGGTTTTCCCCTCCTCGCTGGGCACTGCTCTGTGTCCCCTCTGACACAGAGCAGCGCCAGCGGGTAGAGAAACATTCAGGAGGCCAAGCGGGGAGCACTGTGAGCAGTCGGTGTCACAGGAGGCCGAGCTCTCCTCCCGTCCTGCCCTGCTCAGCCTGATGTGACAGCGAGTCCGGATGGGGAGCAGTATACAAACACTCAGATATCAGCTGACCATTGACTGTTTGCAAATTAATTGAGGACAGAGTATGTTTACTCTGTCTTCAATTATGAATGAACAGGAAGTGCTCTACACCACTTCCTGTTCATTCATGATTATGGACATAGTGTGAGTTACTATCTCCACAGGTAATGTGTCCATTCATTAACTGTGGAGATAGTAACTCGCACTATATCACTCAGTATAGAGCAGGGGTCTCAAACTCAATTTAGTCGGGGGCCACTGGACACCTTTTCTAGTCCCGTGGGGGCCGCTACTATATACGGCACCAGTGTTAATGTATGCACATGTATATAAGCGGCAACTGTCACCCATTCAAGTTAATGATCGGGTGACAGTTGCTGCATGTAAACGCCAGATTAGGGATTCCTGCTGCAGGAAAACGCAAGTTTGTGACACAGGAATCCCTAATCTGGCGTTTACATGCAGCAACTGTCACCCGATCATTAATTTGAATGGGTGACAGTTGCTGCATGTAAACGCCAGATTAGGGATTCCTGCTGCAGGAAAACGCAAGTTTGTGACACAGGAATCCCTAATCCCCGAAATATAGGGGCCTAATATACTCACAGAAAAATACAACCCCCCCACACTAATGCACCCCCCTGCACAAATAAAATACACTCTCAAGCCCCCTCACCTGCTTTCATCCGTGCAGGGAGGAGGCACATCGTCTCCTCATGCCCTGGTGATCTAGCAGTGATCATTAGTAAGGTCTGCACTAGACCTTACTAATGATCCATCAATCGGTCGGAGCTCAGAACTGGCAGAGCTCCGGCCGGAGCCGACCGGAGCAGCTCTGCGGTCTGCATCCGTTGGAGATGCAGACCGTGTAGCTGCTCCCGCAAGTCGGGCACGTGGTCCGTGACCGTGTGCCCGACTTGTCAGCTGGCTGCGGGCCACTTAGTACCAGCTCACGGGCCGGAGTTGGACCGCGGGCCGGTACTTTGAGACCGCTGGTATAGAGGCTTCCTGTTCATTCGGAACAGGGGCTGCGTTTCAAAAGGGAACTATCAGGGGTCTGTTTAGGTTTTTTTCGGTTTCGCCTTGACTTTCTTAAAATTTTTGGTTTCGGTCTGAAAATTCCATTTCGGTGCACCTCTAATGTTATCTTGCTTCTGATTTGAAGCCATTTACTGTTACAGGTATGTTTATTAGCCACATATAATTTGATCTGGACTGCCTAGGCTTTAAAACAGGAGATAGCAAGAAGAAAAATGCTCACACATATCCTGCTGACATCTATAGAGTGAGCATTTCATTTGACAGGTTCATTTAATAGGTTTGATAAACCTACTCCTTGGGGAAAGGCTTCAGATTTCCATATTTTGCTAGTTTCAATTTTTTTTTTTTAACACTTGCAAAGATTGTTAAATGCTGAATTAACTTGCCAAAATAGAATTTGATATTAAGAGGAGTATGAAAGCAATTAGTATGTTAGTCTGTTATTGCATAAGAGGTTCACTTTCACAGCTTTACAATTCAGAAGTAGGGAAGTGGGACATTTCTTCTCTGGTGGAAAGAGAAGTGAATATTATATGCACTGAACAGCGGCTATGCACAGAGAAGTGTGGAGAAGGAAGGTGATTGCCCATTCTCTCACAAGATCACGGGCTCCATCTTCATCGTAAAAAAAAAAAGGAAAAAGGCAGGACAAATAAAACATAATAAACATGGTCCTGGGTCGCCTGTAACGCGCCTGCGCATGTGTGTGTATATATGTATTTCTCTCTCTCTCTCTCTGTGTGTGTCTATCTCTCTTTCTGTTATAAGAAACAGTGGTCCTTCCCTCTTCTCACTTTTTTTGCTTTTAAAAATGCGCATTTCTCCCTGCATAGAGATGTCTATGGGACCAAAAACTAGCAGGATACACCTCAAAATATATCCTGCATCTTTTCGCGCAACAAGCGTTTTTTCCTACACGGCACGCTAAGATGTATACAGTTGCCATTGACTTTGAAATATGTGTTTTGCGCGTTTTCACTTTACATCCATACAGGGAGTAATGCACGAACCTGATTGCAGTTTGTCTGTGTCTGGGGTCGTGCATCCAACCCTGTATGTAAAGGTTGGATGTGAAGGAAGATCTGTGCAGCCACTGCGTATATGTCAGCCTGTCCTTGAATTTTAACCAGCTGCTGACAGCGGCTGCATGGAGCAATTGTGTTTCCTGGGCAGATAAAACATGCAAGTATGGCCCTCTGTGAATAAGCCATCTAAATGCAGGAAAAAGCGATCAGGGAATATACTTCTGAGACAACCTCTTCTGCATTTAGGAAAGCTAAATACAGGAGAGCAAGTGTGACTGTAGCCTTAGGCCTCATTAACACTGGCCATGACTTGCATGCATTTATAGGACATTTCTAAGCGCATATAAATTTTAAAAGGTATAATTTACCTGCATTTAGGTGAGTTCAGTTCAGCTACACTCAGATAAAATAGAATTCTGTGAGTCCAGGGACAAATTGGAATCTCTAAACATGTGCAAACACAAGTACATTTAAACCCAAGAGAACCTGATCTGTTTATACTTACCAGATAATTTCTCGCAGGAGGCTAGTGGGAATGTAACTTAAAGGTTTCTTTGTGATTAAGTGCAAAGCAGTCTGGGAATTTTAAAGGAAATCCACTGCCAGGCCAAGAAAAAAAGGTCACACACAATCTTATATTTAGCTGGATTGCCTTTAGCTTTGATTATGGCACGTAGTCAATGTGGCATCGTTTATAAAGCTTATGCAATGTCACAACATTTATTTCCATCTAGAGTTGCATTAATTTTTTCACCAACATCTTAGTTATGATGGGAGAGTCGGACCACTGTGTAAAGTCTTCTCCAGCACATCCCAAATAAGCCCAGATTCTTAATGGGGTTGAGGTCTGGACTTTGTGGTGACCAGTCCATGTGTGAAAATGATGTTGCATGCTCCCTGAACCACTCTTTCACAATTTGAGCCCAATGGATCCTAGCATTGTCATCTTGGAATATGTCCGTGCCATCAGGAAAGAAAATCCATTGGTGGAAAAACGTGGTCATTCAGTATATTGGGATAGGCAGCTGATCTCATATTTTGGGGACATAACATTGTGAACCTAGACTTGACCAACTGAAGCAATCCCAGATCATAACACTTATCCAATAGAAGGTTCTTACCTATTTGCTTAGCTAAATCCCGGTGGTGACTTTTGTATTAGCCAGGCAGTGTATGTATACCATCACAGGATGCTGAAAATGATTTCCAGGTATGTGTACAAAAGATCTTGCTGACAGGTGCTTATTCTCATTCTGTTTTAGAACTATGTCGCCACGGTGTTTGAGAACTACACAGCCAGCTTTGAGATTGACAAGCAGAGGATTGAGCTCAACATGTGGGACACATCTGGTAAGTTCATGCTTTGTCATACTGTGGTAGGTGTGGTGTCCATACACTGAAAATAATAATCATTTTATGTTTTTTCTGGGTTCACTTTCAGGCTAAGTTTCCCTTTTGCACTCCTTCTGCATAAAATTGACTGTGCAGACAAGGAGCCCCAGTAGGTTAACCTCTTTATGACAGGGGCACAATCATGTGGCATAAGCCGATGACCTCAGACTAAAGTAGCAGTCAGGAGCGTCCTGAGGCTGGGTGTCACCCAGAGCTGAGACCGGGTGACACCCCGCAGTGATGCCATTGCGCACGTGCATGGTGACATCACGTGCCTGCTGGCGGCCATCTTGTTGATGGACGCCGAGAAAGAGAGGAGGGGACGTTCACCCGACTGGATGAGGTATGCCGCCGGTTCCCCTCTTCTCTCCTGACACTGTTGGACTCTCGGTCCATGATCGAGTGCCCGACTTTTTAGAGGGGGTGACACCAAAATGACTGCCAGTCATTTTGGTGTCAACTCCTCCAATGGTGTCACCTGGGTGCGGGCCGCATCCCCCCTTGTAACGCCACTGATAGCAGTCACTAGAAAGAGACACCTCCCCTATTTCTTTCTTCTCTGTGAAGAAAAAAGGGAACTTGAGGAGGAATTTGCTAAAACTGGATCAGACAGAATTTGGAATAGCTGTGCATTTAAGTGATGGGGTTTAGATATACTTTAACAACTAAAAACTACTACTATTGAGCTTTAAGTGGACTACAATCGCTGTCACAATCAGAGACTTGGGAGCTTCTGGTCATTGAAAGTACGAGAATTAGTGAGTTCTAAGTACTTACCCTTCAACATTCTAGAAGGAATTAAAGGAAGCCTCGAAGGGACAAACTTGGAGGCTGCTAATGCTGAACTGATAGTTGCCCAGCTGTCATACTGACCCTTTTGCATCAGCACTCTGAAGCACCACTGTGGAACAAGTATGCAGTTCTTGAACCTTTTTTTTTTCTTCTTCTGATCTTTCTTTAGAAAGTGCTAAAGCCAGTGGGTCAGAATAACAGCCAGACAACTAACATTATTGGAAGGAAATCGGCAATGGCAAACCCCATTTCAATGTACAGTTATTGTCACTAGTAACTTCATAAGAAATAGGATTCGTAAAAAAACTCTACACCTTCCCATGTGCTTACGAAAGCTTTAACCATGGCATTGAAGCAGAACTCCAGCAACAAAAACAAGATAAAACAAGTAAAAGATAAAACAACAAAACTAGCTTTTGCTGCAAATATAGTACTCTCCAATAAGATCAACAGTATCACAGGGGAGAGGAGTTTCCCATTCCACGATCAACATCATTGCCTTTAGTAAAAAAAAAAAAAAAAAGTGGGATCTCTGCTTGCTTATAAGGGAGTGCATTGACGATAATAATTTGTCAATAGTGGCAACCCTCAAAAATTTTAATATTCCACTATTCATGTTGATCCAGGTCAAATCCTAGTTTCCTTGAATCAGGCAACCAGTTTGCTCATTTGCTAGTATGTGTGTATAAAGTGCCTGGCCAGAAAAAAATTCCTGTACTCCAATATTTCGTTAACCACCTTTTAGCTTTGATTCCAGCATGCATTTGCTGTGGCATTGTTTCGATAAGCTAATGCAATGTCTTAACAATTATTTCCATCCAGAATTGCATTCATTTTTCACCAAGATCTTGTAGTGATGATGGGAGAGTCAGACCAATGTGTAAAGTCTTCTCCAACGCATCACAAAGATTCTCAATGGGGTTAAGGTCTGGACTCTGTGGTGGCCAATCCATGTGTGAAAATGATGTCTCATGCTCCATGAACCACTCTTTCACAGTTTACGCCCGGTGAATCCTGACCTCATTTTTTGGGCACATAACGTTGCTGATCCTAGATCTACCCAACTGAAGCAACCCCAGATCATAACACTGCCCTAAATCCATCCGTGCCATCGGGGAAGAAAAAAATCCATTGATGGAAAAGCCTGATCATTCAGTATATTGAAATAGGCAGCTAACCTCATTTTTTGTGGACATAACATTGCCGAACCTAGACCTGACCAATTAAAGCAACCCCAGAACACACATCGGAAAGGCAAGTGCCTTCTGTGTTATATTTTAATCCTTCTGACTGGAGTTAGGCTTTAATGTAGACACAGAGCTGGCATGCAATGGTGGCATTTGTGTACAGTGACTTCAGTTTAAATGGTGTGCTCCCCAAGGTTTATTTATTTCTCCTATTATTGGAAGACAAGAATGTTACTGGCCAGACAACACTATTCTCAGTGAATGGAACTACATGTGGCTCTGGGAGTTCTCAAGCCTTCTGACAGGAAGCCGTTATGCGATTTTGAGCAGTAATTACAGCTGTTTACATAAACTGTGTATCTTGTTAAAACAACTGTGAGAACTTTAGCTGCCAGACATTTCTTGGTATTGCATATGTGCAGAATATTTACAGTATATGAAAATACTCACTATGTACATGATAGAAACATGGGTTGTGCAGTAATGTGCACATGTGTATTAACATGAAAAACTTGCCCACTCTTTTTGTAGAAGGTATGTGTAAGCACCAGCCACTACACTTTGAGATTGAGAGTTGTCTGAAAAATAAGCCATTAAGCTAAAGGCTCCGAGAGCAACAAGTACCACAGTCCATGGGGAGTAGTGTTGGCCAGTGCCAGGTTTTTTTCTTCAGATGGCGTCAGAATATGGCTATGATGGTATCACCATTATTACCTTACCACATTTTATTTTGGCTTTACCAACACTGTTCTCTACAAATAAGCCCCCATTCACACCCAAGTGTTTTTGTTGTGCGGTTTACAAAGCACAATCACTCCCAACAAAACACTCAAGTCTGAAAAACATGCAAAAAGGGTAAACAGATGCACCAAAAAAGCTTCAAAATTGCCTAATAACGCTCACATTGTGAAGGGAGTTTGACTATTTTATAGGTCTTATTTGGTTCCCAGTAAAAGATGTTTTCCACTCTTGCTTTGCAGTTAGCAGTTATTTATCTGTCCCCAGATGGAGGAACATTTCTGCTTATAAATGACCATAGTTTTTAGCCTTTGCCTGTAAAATATTACTTAGTATTGTGCGTCCTATATTAAAATGATTTATACAGTTCTAATTCCTTGTTGGGACACAGCATCTCTAACAGGCCTATGTCGTGGTCTCACCCTATTGCTCAGTATGTGAGCTAGGCTGTGCAGTAAATCACATTTAATACTAGAATGTTAAATTGTATATACGGGTATTAGCTTTATAGAGCTGTCATCTATTTAGAATAATAAATGTGTTTTATGCTAAAAGTAACATCGTGATGATAATCTGTTAGTTTAATGTCAAAGGAATCATCATACATAGTTTTTATCAGCTTCTTTTAAGTGCAGTCTTAATGGGAATTACAGCTTTTTATTTTAAACATTCTCTAATATGTGCGTAAATTGCACTTTTTCTGTGAAGGGCAGTCTTTATCTTCTTTTTTTTTTGTGTAAAATTATTGAAATGATTACAACAAAGTGCTTTAAATTACAGTGTTCCTGAGTCCCTGCAAAGCAAAGAAGCTGGTTTTATCAGATTGGCTTTCTAGAGTGAATGCAGTGATTCTGTATTTGCATGTGACATTTTATATACACATCAGAAATGAAGAGATAAATATAATGGCTGCAGGAAAGGAAAATATAGGGGTCTTTTTTTTTTCTGAACCTGTAGCACTTAATTGTCCCAAAAGGGGCAGCGCAGCCTCATTCCATGTGGTGCTGCGTTGCTGTTTGCTTTGTGGATTGTGAGTTGGATGGTGGTGTTCTGAGAGGTTAAAAAGAAAAAGAATCACTCAGGGGCTTTCACAGAAGCAAAAAGAGAAAGTGGGGAGACCCTTATGGTGTAGTAGGTTAATAGCAGTTATGTATAGGTATTGGACAATGGGTGTCCTAAAGAGAAGAAGGACATGACTTATGGTTGTGAGGAACCATAGTTTAATGGTGGATTCAACCTTCCAATGACATTTATAGAGGTTATAGCTAGGGATGCATCGATACCATTTTTTCCAGAACGAGTACGAGAGCCGATACTTTTCCTTAAGTACTCACCACTACCGATAACCAATACTTTTTTTAAAAGTGTCATGTGACCGTTTTTCTAAAAGAATACAGACTAATGATTTTAGGACAGTGGTGGAACGCCAAGGCTCGGTACCAGCTGCAAATGCTGTGCCTCTAATAGTTCTGCCACTGACTCCAAGCTGTAGAGGAACTACAAATCTCAGCAATACATTATATATCGATTCAGAATACCAGCAGCCATAGAGGACTACAGATCCAAGCAATACATTATACGCAATGGAGAATAATGCCATCAGCTTGAGAAGACTACAAAGCCCAGTGATGCATTATTCAGCAATGCAGAATAATGCAGAGATGACTACAAATCCTAGCAATACATTATACAGCAATGCTGAATGGCATCAGACTATAGAGGACTACAAATCCCAGCAATGCATTATACGTCAATGCATAATATTATGAAGCTACATGCTCTGTGGTGCTCCGGGGTGCTGGCCTGATGTCTCCAGCAGAGGATCTCAGGTGGCTGTACGGGCTCTATGGTGGGCTGTGCGGGCTCTATGGTGGGCTGTGTGGGGTCCAAGGTGGGCTGTGTGGGGGGGTTGCAGCGGGTGCTGTAAACAGTTGCCCGGGTTCACAGAAAGCCTTGCTTGCTGTGGACCCCGGCAGCCTTCCTGTGAATGGCGATGCCTGTTTACAGTGCCAGCTTCAGTTAAAAAATGTAAAGCACTGGTATTGGCGCTTTTTTACGAGTACTCATGAAAATGCCCAGTATCTGCATTTTCACGAGCGATCGTGGTTGCTCTCTATGCCAGGGGGAACTTAATCTCAGGTCCTCCTACATCAGAATAGTATAGTAACCTGGAACACGGTCATGAAAAAACTTGCCCTTGTGCCAGAGGTTAGACAGTGTAGTAGTGAAGATGGTGTTTAA